TTATTTTGATATATCACAGTGAAAGATTTATCGTCCTCTTTTTTTTTTTTTTTTTTTTTTTTTTTTTAAAAAAAAAAAAAAAAAAAAAAAAAAAAAACCTCTTTAACTGTGGTAAAATACATGAACCATAAAATGTGCCATCATTACCACTTGTGTCTAAGTCAGTGGCATTGGGTGCATCCACACTGTTGCATGGCCAGGTCTACTGTTCTCTATGAAGCAATAAAACCGCGGCTATCTAGCACTCCCTCCCCACCCTAACCCCTGGCACAAGCAGATCTCTGGGTTCTCTGTGAAAGTACTCTTTTAGGCTCCTCATATAGTATGGTAGACTCATACACCATTTGTCCTTTTGTGGCTGGCAGTAAATGGCTTTAGAACAATGGAGAGCTGGTTACCTGGTAGCCCAGATCCCATGAGCCACAGCCTCTGTTCTTTAGAGGCCACCAGAAGCCACGTCATCCCCAACCCTCTCTCAGGTCCTCCCAGAATGCTGGGTATCCTCCTTCCTTTGGGCCTATGCTGCTCTGCCAATGCCTCTCCCTTGGTATTTCAGTGGGCTTGGAAGACTAATGCCTTTTGGGGCTCCCAGAGGGTCAGCCCATCTCTGATTTATGGTCTTGGTTCTTGGCCAGCCAAGGCCTGACCCCTTGTGGGTTCTTAGTCAAATTGGGTTGGGCTTGCTGAAGGACAGGATGCAAAGAGGAGCAGGGACAGAACGAGGCTCCTCTCTGCTTGGAAACAGCTGGTCTACGGGGCTCCTGCCTCCCACCACGTGCTCCTCTCCCTCTGCCAAACCTAGGGACAGTGAGAGGATCCACAGGGACAGCGGGAGGGTCCATGGGGACAGTAAGAAGGACAGTGAGCAACTACCCACACCAGTATCTCATGTCATGCAATTGCCTAAGCCATGTGCTTGAAAATGGCCTCTCTAGAGTTGGGGACAGGCTGGATGACAGGTTGTCAGGTGGTTGACCACCCTGGAGGCCCAATGCTGGCTGCTTCCAGGGCTCTGAGCACACGTTTGTGTCTGTTCTTATTTCTCACACTCTACTTTGTTCCTCTCTGAATGCAGCCCATCTCTCTGTGAGGTGACCCTGGGAGGTCAGGCAGGATCCCCACTTGATTCACCATTCTCCTACTGTCTAGAACATTCTTTGCTTATTGGAATATTACATACATTAGTCTGTTTTCTATTTCTATAAAAAATACTAATACTGGGTATTTTATAAAGAGAAAAAGGTTTAACTAGCTCATGCCTTTGAAAACTGAAAAATCTAAATGGCACGATGCTGTGTCTGGTGACACCAACACCCTGCTGTCATTATATGGGGCACATATTGGTGTGCATGTGAGAGACACCTAGTGGAGAGACAGGAAACCAGAGACAGGGGTTGGGCCAGTCTTGCCCTTTTAGAATCCCCTCCCTCCCTCTCAGAGAACTAATTGGGGTCCCATAGAAACTAATTAACCCTTCCAAGGGAGGCATCCCCAGTGACCCAGCCACTTCCCACTTGGCTCCTCCTAAAGGTGGCCATCTCCCATTATTGCCTCACTGAGGCCCAGACGTTCAACACTTGAACCCTTGAGCCCTTGGGGAAAAAATGACATCCAATCGGGTTATTGCCCATTCGTCCAGTTGAATGCCTGCACAAAAGCCTCCTGACTTCAGTGTATGTAATCAGGAGGCATCCAAGTCACCTATCAGGACCAAGCAGTTGAGTAACTGTGCCACCCTCATGGGGCACAGCATATGTAGGGTGCTGGGGCGTGCCTGGCCCTACTAAGGACTTTCAGCTGAAAGCAAGAACAAACAACGCAACATCCAGAGAGTAGGCACTTCAGGGCTTGCTTGGTTTTGGTGGCATCACATGCTGGGCATAGAACGGTCCACTCCTATTTCATGGCTGAGGAAATGGGGGTCTTCAGCAGCTGTGAATACAAACCAAGATGGCCAGTGGGGGGCTCATGGGAGGTCTGGGTAATTGCAGTGAGTCCCCTGGGACAGGGACCCTAAAGCCATTCCTGCCTGTGCCATCCTCCTAACCAGATCAGCCTACAGTGGTGTCAGTTCATGGATCTGCTGGTGGCTGGACACAAAGCTGCCTCCTCCAAGTCACTACTCCCACTAACAGATGTCTAAGAAGTTGTCTTTGAGGGGTACCAGACCTTGCCTTGTCATCTTTTTCTGTAGCCCTTGCACTGGCCGAGAGCAGCTGGAGAACATAGGTTTGATCAAGAAGTCAACAGCTCATGATGTCTCTGGGCCACCTGTTCAGAGCCTGTGTGCAGGTATGGATCAAGCCCGGCTAGGAATGGAAAACCTTACATAGGACGTTTTGTTGTAATCCTTGGCGATCCTTTCTGTTGGTGTTCCCAGCAAAGTTCACAATTTTTTTGTTTTAAATATTACTCTCTTGGGCTGGAGAGATGGCTCAGCGGTTAAGAATAATGGCTGCTCTTAGGATCTGGGTTCAGATCCCAGCATGTACATGGCCACTAACAACTGTCTGTAACTCCAGTTCCAGGGGATCCAACGCCCTTTTCTGAGGTTCACAGGCACTGCAAGACAAGGGTGCACTTATATACACGGAGGCAATATACTGATAGACATAAAATAAAAATAAATAAATAAAATATTTTAAACCTTAAATAAAAATCACTCTCAAGCTGGGTGTGGTGGTGAATGCCTTTAATCTTAGGACTCAGGAAGCAGAAACAGGTGGATCTCTGTGAGATCGAGGCCGGCCTGGACTACATAGTGAGCTCCAGGCCAGCTGGGGCTACAGGGAGATGCTGTCTCAAAAGGACAAAAAAAATTATTCTAAAAATGAATTAGAGCTGGGAAGTGCTCTCTTGGCCAACATCTGATCTTTGCTGTACATGAATCTAGAAGGTGATAGTTTGGGTGATTCAGTCCCCAGAAGTCTGGTCCAGCATGAGGAACATAATCTATGAAAAGTGTTTAGAAAAATGCACTGTCCATCCAGTCCTGTTGCTTCTCATGGGCCGCAAACATCTGACAGTGCTCCCCAGGAAGCTGCTTGTTCCTCTCCACAAGTTCCCAGTGGAGAGTGAAGACAGAGAGGTTCCATAACTAAGGAAAATATGTGACGAGGGTTAAGCCTGGGAGCCAGACCTGGAAACCACCAGGCAATTCTCTACTATTATTTGTGGGGGTAAGTCACCAGTAGGGGATTTTCCCACGGGCACTGTGACAAAAATTGGAGTGTGTTACCCCAGAACCCCAACTGCATGGGAACAGCTTTAGAGTTCTACTTTGAGTTACTTCTAGACCCTAGTTTTAGAAGTACTCTAGAGAACCCAGCTGGGTCGTTGGTCCCTACCCTACTGTGGTAGGTAGAGACCTGTGTTAGTTTTCCTTTACTATAACAAAGATCTGAGAGAAATCAACTTAAAAAGAAGAGAGGTTTATTTAGACCCTTTTAGTTTAGGTTGCTTGACCCTTTGCTTTGGGCCTGTGGTACATAAGAGTAGGAGTGTCTGATGGGTGAGGTCTGTTTGCCTCACATTAGTCCAGAAAGGAGGGAGAGAGAGAGAGAGAGAGAGAGAGAGAGAGAGAGAGAGAGAGAGAGAGAGAGATGAAGAGACTGGTGCTCTAATATCCTCTTCAAAGCCACAGCCATAGTGACCTAATTTCCACCCACTAAATGTTTTACCACCTCCCAGAAGCAACACATGCTGACAGCCAAGCTTTTACCTCATTGGCCTTTTGGAGACCTTCAAGATCCAAGCTACTGTGTTAGTAGCTTTGCTGTGTTAGCTCTGTGTTTTAGTTTTAACTGTTACTACCAAAAACTGTATCCCCACTTACCTTCCATCTTGCCTCAAGACTAATGCAGGGGGAAGAACAATCAAGGTGAGCATGGTGGTACAGGCCTATAACCCCAGTACCTGGAACACAAAGGAGGGGCATCAAGAGTTTGTACCAGTATGGGATTCATAGTGAGTTGGTGGCCAATGAGAGCCATACAGAGAGCTCATACCTCACGAAACAAAAGCTGGAGGTTTAGCTCAGTGGCAGAGCACTGGCCCAACACATACAAGGTCCTATTTATTCCCTGCCACCAAGGGGAAAAAAGACTATAGTAAATCATAGAGAAAATGGGCACCAGGCCCCACTCTGCCTTGGTCTCTGCTCTTACAGCCCAACCTTGACTAACACTGGTCCAGTGGTGGCTCATTGGAATTTGTGCTCAGTGATCTATTCCCAGGATTGGTGGGAGATTTGATGTGAACTACTTTTTCCTGTGTGTGTGTGTGTGTGTGTGTGTGTGTGTGTGTGTGTGTGTGTGTGTTTCATTAAGTCTTAAATCATTCGGAAGGAAAATCACACTATGGTGCTCATTCCGCCTCTAGGGCTACAAAATAGCAGAAGAAGGAGCTGCACAGAAGAACCAGGCCCAGAAATCGTGTGTGTGACACTGACGCGTGATCCACATCGTGGTTTTGGTAAGAGGGCTCCCTGAAGGTGAGGCCCAGTGTCTGCTATTGGGGGGGGCATTCTCTCTTGACTTTTCTGCCCCTTTCTTACCCCTTGTCTCCTAACTTGCCTTTTTTTTTTTTTTAAAAAAAGCAATCACTTCTTCTTTCCAGTATCCCTAAACAACACCTGATAGGCCCTGATATCTTTTCAGGATGCATCTAAGCACAGAATAAAAAAGGTTTTCCCCCAGACAACTTGTACCAATTTTTCTCTAGTATAAATTGATTTTTATTGATGTGGAGGAACAGGCAATCTTTCTCACTTTTAATTACTATCGATCACATTTTAACCTTTAAAACCATGTAAGAAAAAAAGATAGTGAGACCAGATATCTGATTTTAAAAAAATCATGTTTCCCAGGGCTGGGAAGATGGCTCAGCTGATAAAGTGCTTGCCACACAAGTGTGAGCCTGGAGTTCAGATCACCAGGACCCACATAAATGTTAGGTAAATATGGCTGCCCGTCTGTAATCTTGGCACTCAGGAGGCAGAGATAGGGGATCCCTGGGGAAGAAAGGATAGATAGACTAATTGAATCAGTGAGCTTTGTGCTCAGGGAGAGACCCCGCCTCAGTAAATAGTGTGGAGAGTGAAGAAGAAAGATATTTGATGTCAAACTTCAGGCCTCCATATGCACATGCACACACATGCATGTGTACCTCTACACATACAGGCACAAGCACAGGCACAGGCAGGCACACACACACACACACACACACACACACACACATACACACACAGCAACCTTCCCCGTTTTTCCTATCCCTGATTATCTCCTGACACAAATGCCAGCTTGCGCTGGTGGGCTGCATGTCTAGCTCTGTTGTGTTTGTTAAAGGGAGCAATCCACTTTCCCTAAGTATTGTACTCAGATCCAGATAATGGCTGTACCAATTGGTAGCATGGTATAAGCAGACAACCTGCCCTCTCTGAGCTGCAAAGTCAGTAAACAGCCTCTTATCATTAGATTCCATCCTGGATTACAGGTTTTGTTATTAAGGAGGGAGAAGATGCAGACCAAGCTAATCCTGGCATTTTCATTTCGTCTCTGATGCCTGGGGGACCAGCAGAAAAAACTAAAAAGATCAAACCAGGTACATCTTATGCTAAAGTTCCAGAAATACTGTTTTAAGATGCTGCCTGTTTTCATTCCTTGCTTGGGTTATTGAGTTCTTTTCTCTTTCCAGGAGGGAGGATCCTAGCCTTGAATCATATCAGCCTGGAGGGCTTTACATTCAACATGGCTGTTAAAATGATCCAGAATTCTCCTGGCAACATAGAATTAATCATTTCTCAGTCAAAAGGTATGTTTCATCTTCCTTTGCAAAACTGAACAACCTCCGCTGTTTTCAGGATAGCATTGTTACCATGGGCTGAGAACAAAAAACTCTGTGTCTTTTTAAAAATTAATTTATTATTTTTATTTTATATGTATGCATGTATCACCTGCATGTAGGTAGGTGAACCTGTGTTGTGCAATGCCTGCAAAGGTCAGAAGAGGGCATTGGATCCCCTGGAACTGGAGTTATAGATGGTTGATAGCCACCATGTGGGTGATGGGAATTGAACCCGGGTCCTCTGCAAGAGCAGCCAGTGCTCTTAACCTCTGAGCCATCTCTCCGGTTCTTGAATGTAGGTCTTTTGTGTGGCTTTCCCTGTGGTCATGGCTTGCAAGGAGGCAATGTAGTGTCATAATTCAGTATGCTCTGCAATCACAGGGCCAGGGCGGGTCCCATCACTGCAGGTCCTGAAAGGCAGCAGCTTCCTCTGATGCTTCATTAGGTATGGCTAGATATAACCAGTGTGTTTCTGCTTGCTCCTCCTGCATGATAGGAAGCGCATTCTTACTGTCACCAAGTCCTGATTGAAAGTGGCTGTTACAGGATTACTACAATTGGACTTGGGTGGAGCAGTGACCTGTGCAGCTGGGAAGGAGACTGAAATTGTTCTTGAATCTGAGTTTGCACAGTGAGCACACTGTTCTTCCTTGAAGTGTGTGTTATAGCTCAACCCTTAAAAGTTTTGTTGTTCTAGGCTAGTTTTCCTCATCCTTTAAATAAGAATGACAAACAAGCAACAGATACTTAGACCAAAGAATATATATATATA